ATTTTTCAAGAAATCCACGTTCTTTCGCATATATAATTGCGATTCAGGTCCGAGTTGCTAACGATTTTTGGGTTCAGAGCTGCTTGAGGTTGTGGTTGGGGAGCTAGAGGGCTGAGTTTAAAACCCTTGTCTCGTACGTGCATAGAGAATATCCCTGCAAAGTTTCAGCCTTCTACGTTGCCTGGTTCGCGAGGTCTCGTACGTGCATAGAGAATATCCCTGCAAAGTTTCAGCCTTCTACGTTGCCTGGTTCGCGAAAACAGTTTTTCGTCACAAATTTCTTTGGGGGTCTCGTGCGCGGGGTTTAGGCGCGTACGAGGGAAGATCTTAAAACCCCGCCAACAAATTTCTTTGGGGGTCTCGTGCGCGGGTTTAGGCGCGTATGGGGGAAGATCTTAAAACGGGAGGATGACACGCGGGGTAGGTACATATATCCGAAGTTTTAGCCCCCCAGCTTCCCTGGTTGCTGAGTTGAAAGTGGGTGACAAAATGCACTCGCTTTCCGAACACACACACACAGACAGCCTCTCGACAATATGGGTTTCTGCTGGCTGTAGCAGCGTTATAGCGCTGCTGTAGCGCTGCACAGAAAAAACGCATAAAAAGGATAAAATCAGAAAGAAAGAAAAAAAAATCCAAAAATAAAAATAGGCTAGAATTTTTAAAAAAATAGGGCTAGTACGAGGCTAGAATTTTCACCCGCTACGGCGGCGCAAGTTATTTCGTGCGCTTATTGACTGACCAGGTTTCTTCGTCTGTTGAGGCACGAGGTACTCGGGAACCATGTCCATTTGTGTTTGGGTGGTGTCCTGTTTCCCAAGCAGATGAAATGGTTTAATCTGATTAAAATGTACTATGTTTGGCTTATTTTGAGGCGCAGCAATGCTGAGGATGGTAGCGTGATCGTCTTCGACATCTTCTCGATATTAACCCTTCCACGGCCAAGTTAGCTTTCGTGAGAGGCCTTTTGCTTGCGGACGAGATATCGGTCGCCAACTTTAAAATAATGGCTGTGCTCCTTTTTGTCGTACTGCTGTTTCGAAACGCATGAGCCGACCACTGTGCTGCTTGCTGTCAAGCTATACGCAGACGCTTAATGAGTTGAGCCCTGTACATCCCCACATCAGTTTGAGCCTAACCTTCATGCGTTTGCGGGTCTAAAATAACATTGGCGCAAAAAATGGGGTCCCTACCAAAGACCAGGGAGAAGGGTGATTCGTGCGTCGTATCGTGGACGGATATGTTGTAGCACCAGGCAATGTACGGCAAAAGCTGGCACCAGTTACGTTGGTCGGCTGAGCAACCATCTTCGCTAAGGCATCCCGTATCGTGCGAAATGAGCGCATTCCCTTTGGAGTAGTAAGGTGTTGCGTACTTGTAATTTATATTCATCAGCCTACAAAATTCTTGATAGAACTAGCTAGCAAGGGCGACCGCATTGTTTGAGATTATCTCCGTACAAGCTCCAAAATTCAAT